TTATTTGTTATTATTAACTATTATTATAATATAAACTATCCATAATTAATAATTATTAAATTATAATTTACAATTTAATAAATTTTTATTCATTTGCTAATTTTCTTTTTAAGATACACAAACATTTTATATTTTTATCCCAGAAACTAGAATTATAAAACAAAGTATCTCAAATTTACATAAGTTGTTAAATTTAAACGTACAATTAATTCGTATAAAAATTAACATTTTCGTTACTTAAAAATTTGAAATCTTCCTATTTCTTTTCAATGTATTATTACAATAATATGAGATTCGCTTATACTTTGATCACTTTTACAAATTCAAAAATTCTGAATGTCTTCAATTTAAAACTTAATTAATTAATTATTGATTAACAAAAAATATTTATATTAGTATCTAATGATTCCGATATTTTTGAATCAGTACTTTCAATTGTGAAGACTAAAATTATTCTTTACATTTGATTCTCAATTGTTATAAAAGTCTAATAATTTTTAAAAAGTAACAAGTATTTCACTCTGACTAACACTGATAGTTTAATTACAATTTCCATCGAAAATATTGAAATATTTCATCAGTTATTAATTATTCTAATATTTGAATTAATTGACTTAATTATAAATTTAAATAAATTTTTTTTAATAAATTGTTTGACATATTTTTGTTATTAGTAGGATTTTAAATATCGGCTAGTGAGTACCTTTCATTTCAGAATCAATAATAGCCATCAAATCGTCAATATTAGTATATTTTTCTGGAGTAATCGAACGAGGAGGTGAATCAGGATAATTTACCTCAACATTGTACTTTGTCATTAAGTTATTTTGATTGACGGTAGAATGACAATGATTGTGAATAATGATATTATTATTTTCAAAATTATTTTGAATCGAGCGTTGCACGTCAAATTGATGTATTTGCTCATTATGGTTATAATATTGTTGATAATTACACGAGCTATAATCGTAAAAGTTGCTGTTCACAGTATTAGATGACTTTTTGTCATTATTATAGTTGATATTGCTACCGTAGGTGAAACTGTAATTCTGGTTTTGAATTACGTTAGTTTGGTACTGATTATAGATGTTCCAATTTTGAAATTGAAGGAAGTTAGCGCTTTCTGATGAGCAGTTATTGGAGTTCGTAGGACGCACGTGGTTTTCTGCTGGACATTCAATTGGAGCAGGAACCGAATTATATTGAACGTTGTACGTCAGGTACGTTGGGTCTTGAACATGCTTGACCACAATATTTGTTATGTCGCATACTCCTAAGTAGCTTCCCAACACGTGATCGCTGTCCTGGACTCTTTTTTTGGATCCAATTTTTTTATCCTTCATGCGACGGTTTTGAAACCACACTTTGATCTGTAAACAAAACAATATTAATAACTCGTATTCAATAATTACTTAAGTATGGTGAAATTAAAAAAATAAATAAATAAAATCTATTATCAATAATATTTATTGTAAATACCTGTTTTTCAGTAAGACCTAGTGATTCGGCAACATTAATCCGTTTTTGACGACACAAGTAGTTATTCTGCGCATATATTTGCTCCATATGAAGAAGTTGATTGTTGGTGAACGTTGTTCTTGCTCTGCTTTTTGAATAAGATGTTTTTTTGTTTAACGTCTCACTCTTTTCAACAGACTGATGTGTATTTATATCACTTGCGGAATTATGACTCTGCACGAAGATTGGTTCTTCTGTTGATATGCTTTCAGGAGTCGGCGGTAACTGGGGTGATACCGTTGAAACAACATCCGGAAAGAGTGATTGAAAGCTATGATAAAAAAGCTCTTCATTTTCAAAATTGACGTATGAAGAAGACATTTTGCGTTGCTTTTTTTTTATTAATAAATCAAAATCGGAAAGTAAAATACAGTAATTTTTCATTTACGTGTACTTAACAGTTCACTAGCACTATTTGCTACGAGGTAAATAGTTCGAAGGATGCCAAGGAACTAAAGATACCGCATCCAGTATTGCAAGATAAAACTAAATGAAAACTGCCGATGAGTGGCGCTGAAATAGCCCTAAAAATGGCCCAATCAGAGAGGACATACTATTTCAAAATTTGAAATTTTATTTTGCGAGAAATTGTATAAGTCCTATTGAAATTGTTTATCACTTAATTAGGCAGTGAAAATATTTACCATGATATTGATAATTATTAATAACAATAAAAACATATATAAGCAATTATTGTGAAAATAATAACAATAATAAAAAAATTATAATTATAAACGGGAAAAACTACACTAAAATAAAAAATAATCAATTTATAATAAATATACTATTTGAATAATAATAAATACCATTTTAAATAGTAATTAAAGCTATGTGAATATTTAAATATTAAACTATAATAATTAATAATTCTAACCTCAATGTTTATCATTTGTACTTTATAATA